CCTCCCCTCGTTTGCAAAAGTTCGCTTTGGCCGACACCCCCCTCCCCCCAAGTGCGAACGTAATATGTGAACAGAGCCTAAGCTCAAAAACCAAGCTCTAATGAAATCATGTGTCATGTTTACTTGTTAGTAAAATTGTATGGATTTACTTTGTATTGTTTGTAAATTTACTGTATATTTATTATTATATTAGATATTATATAATTGTCAATTATTAATTGACTGAATTTTCATTTATATAGCTTTTGTTGTTATGTAAAAGTGAAAAATATTTTAAATGTCCCACAATTTTACCCCACATATGGTGTATTAATAAATAGACCGGGATAGTGTAGCTGCAGTATATCACCATTACTAATCTTATATAACATATTGTCATAGATATAATAAAAATAGATTATAATCCAAAACTCGCCAAATATTATTAAATACTCGAACAAATATACAGACACATTGTGTGCATTTATTAAATAGCAGGTACAGTACAATAATGTACTGCCAATAATGTAATTATAGCGATGGTTGTCTGTATTTCATGCGAAGTGAGGGCCTCACTGACAAGTGAGAGGGAAAGTGCTATTTATGTGCAAAAGTTGCACAAACTTTTCATTCACTGAAATGCAATACAAAACTAAAAACACATCAAATGATTGGAAAAGTCACTTTGAAAGACATGTTTAGCACATTTACTGCCATTTTATAACAAACTCCATAAAAGGTAAATATAATTCACTTTCAATAAAACTATTATTAATCTTACAAATACTATAAGATTTAACAATATCCTATTACCATAATGACATACAATTTCTACCAACACTGGATACTGTATAAAATATACATTGTTACCACGTGTTTAATCGCAAAACTTATATTGGAATTAATTAGATAATGAATTTAATTATTATGACAAATATTGTTTCAAATATTATTACCATGTATTTAACAGTAAATTCAATCTAATAGTTATGGATGTTTGCGATTCCGGGGCCAAAAGCACAGTCAGCCCACTATTGGGCGCCAGAATTGTCAGAATATGTCATAAATACCGCAATACAGGCATTGAATTGCATTCAATCCTATATTACTTTCACAAAGAATTTTTGTATGAATTGGATCTCAAGTCAGAGGGTTTTGACACCATTGAAGGGCTCATTGAATGCCTGGTTCGTGATGACTATCCTCTGGAAGTGATCGATGGCTGCGATGGTATCCGTCGACTGGTGTCCGACAAACGGAAATACTTTTACTGGTTGTCTGTCGTCAAAGTCGGCAAACGGTATGATATGTTGGATATATTGGCCGACATTCCCGACGATGTGATGCCTTGCGGTCACGAATTGCCAGAATTTCAATTCCCCGATAATGTGGTCGTCAATGGTTTGCCAGAAATACTTTCCGGTAATTTTCAAACACTATATTAGTTTGATATTTGATTATTATATTTATTTAACCGCTATTTAAGGCAATATTCTCAACGAACTTCACTTTTGTAAAGTGAGACTAATGTCTGTGAAGAGTCCTCACGAGATGTTTGTCCACATCTGCGACGACGACCACCACTACGCCTATCATCGGTTGAGGACTGAAATGAGATCCTATGATAAGGCGGACAATGAGGACAAGTATCGGGTGCCGAGTCTGCTATTGTTTGAGGGCTTACTTTGTGCCGTCCGTTATCATAGAATATGCGATGAATGGCACAGAAGTATCATATTATCCGTCAATAGGGATAATAAATGTCGACTACTTTTGGTTGACATCGGTATTAGTTTTATTGCATTCATGTGTTTTGTAAGCGATTTTAATTTGTTTTATATAAAATGTTAGGCGATGTGATTGAAGCGGACGCCAAAGACATGCGGCTATTACTGCAAAAGTACGGCCAACTGCCGGCTCAGGCACTCAAAGTCCAGTTGACTGCCATCCGACCGATCGGTAAATCGGGTCAACACTGGTCTCAATGGGCGAAGAGTTTTGTCAAACGACTCGAAGAGTATAACTATTGCGGGAAAATTGAATGCGCTTTCATTGACCGCCAGTCCGACAGATATCGGGTTTTCATTAAATATTACGATAAGATTAAGTCAATTAATACAAACGATTTGCTATTTTTGCACCAAATATTAGTGGAGAAACAATTGGCGATTATCTCCGGTAACGATAAACCTATTGATTGAAAATTACTATTTTGTACACACTTTTGGATTTTATAAAATTATTTATTATAACATTTTAATACACTTAATACACAACTTTTGAATTGCATTACAAAACATACATTTATTATTTGAATGTCTATATTATCGTTGATTTGTAATAAAAACTTTTTTCTAATGCTTTAATAATTTTACTAATAATTTTTAAAATGTTTTTCGCGTTCTTTGAATGAAAATTAATTTTTAAAAATACAAAATAATTGATTCAATAAACGGTTATTTCTAAAAAGCAGTCAATAATTGAAACAAAAATATACTTAAGAAGGACTTAAGGAGTGAAAGACGTTTTGACAGTAAATACAGATCCCGAGGAATGCCTAACACAGGAAATGTTGTCTTATGCGATGACATATTGGGTCTTATATTCAATGAATTGCCGGTCAAAGACTTATATTGTTTCCAACGAGTGTCTCAACAGTTTCGCGATTGTGCTGAAGAAGGGCTTCAAAAGACACAATTGCTGGCCATTGGATTCAAGAGCACGACAGATGACGACCCAGACGTCAAAAATTTAATCAAATCCATTACCGGATCAATTGATCTGAAGGCCATTGATGTCACGCAAGGGTTTGTAAGGGGTTCACAGAAGTTGCGAGACGTCAAGAGGTTATACCTAAGAATAGTTGAATTTAAATTCCATGGAATGGAAAAGACTGTCAAACAGTTCCCACTTCTGGAGAAGATTTATTTCATTCAATCGGGGTTTATACAGACATCGGACACATTCACATCCAGACAATGGGCTGATCTTTGGGTTAATGTCAAACACATTGCGATCGCATTTATTAAAGAGGAAAACGCGACACTTTTGGTAAATATCATACGAGAATTGGCATCACTTCAGAGTCTAGAGGTCTATAATATGCCATCTATCGCATCGGATCTACTCGTCGAATGTCTGCCCGCAAACATCCGCTCATTGAAAGTAATGAGAGACACATTCGATACGCAATCCATTGAAAGTCTGACCACAAAATGTCTTCAAATCCAAGAACTATCGCTCAGTTCTCACATTGAAAAGAACGCGGATTTCAATGACGACAATGAATTTGGTCAATGGTTTCTCATTATCTGTAATCGTCTCAAGAATCTCAAGAGACTAACCATTGCTTTGGCACAGAATTCCTCCGAAGAGTTTGTGATAAATATTAAAAAGTTATCAAAACTCAGACATTTGGCGATTGAATCAAATTGTGACGATCAGATGGTCTTCGACATGACATCAATGACACCAATGGCTAGTCTTCGGTCACTCAGTTTGCGGGGCATTAAGTGCTCACCAGAAATGTGGTCTCAATTCATTGAAGTGATGCCAAATTTGCGCCGATTATCACTCGATTCTATCAATTGTCACATCGATTGCGTCCACTCTTTAGATGAAAGCAAAGAGTGTCTCAAAATGTGTTTCGAGAGATTCATGAAATCAGTGGCAAACCATCGAAAAGTCAAAGTACTGACACTCGGGTACCTAATCGACGGCTTCGACGACAACATATTGGAAACCTTACATCTGTTCAAACACTTGGATCAGCTCTGCATTCATATGGAGGCCCAGTATCTCTTCCGACAATCACACAAATTTGTGACCCAATGTCTGGCCGATAGGAACCGAGTCTTCCGTTTGGGACTATTGTGTGGAACGACAGGAAAGGATGCGATTCTGAGACGACTGAACGAACCGGACGTTCAAATGCCAGCATTTTTGCGGATTATTGACTGCGGAGATAGCGATCAATATATAGCCAACGCTTAAGCCCTACAATCGGACACCAATTTCTTGGTTTGATTTTATTTGTGTCGCAAATGATATCAATATATAGTAATCATATTTCGCACAATTATTATAAACTAAATAAAAGAAAGTTTGAATCAAAATAATGTAATTTTATTTGTAATCTTTATATTAAATGAAAAAGTAATAGACAGAAATAAATAATTTTATTAATAAATCAGTTTAATTTAATTAATTATATGTTTTATTGTTACTTTTTAACTATCGGAATATGTTTTGGTATCTTGGTAATAATAGATTTTATATTTTAAGTATTAATATTTTAAATAATTACAAAATTATTTGTAGCTATAACTTACAACATATAAATTAATTGTAATTTAATCTCTATTTTACAATAGAAATAAAATATAAATAAACTAATTTTCAATGTTAACATAAATTAGTTTTCATTTATAGAGGTTTAAGGTTAACACAATCTATGCGATAATAACTGATTCAAAATAGGGTTAATTCAATTGTTTTATTTGTTTTCATAATTATTAAATCACTGAACACATTGATAATTTTATATTTTTAATTAAATGTCATAATGCAATGCCTAATAAAAATAACCTGATTTCACATTAATGTTATAAATTATTTATAATTTCTCTGAAATTTCAGACAAAACAATGAGTGATTTAATAGTAAATATGTATATATTGTTATACAGTATATATTGGCCTCCAATGAAATAATTGAGGTCTTTGTCGCTTATAATCGCATTAAATATATAACACAATTGCATAAAATCTTTCATTTAATACAATATAATTGTAGTATTTTTGAGAATATCGTATAAAAGTGACATCAAATCCGTTATTTTACTTATATTTAGCAAATTATATCCAATAACTACTCATTACTGTAAATATCAAACAAAAATGTTGGGAATATTAACAAAACTGATGACAACCCTATTGTGGATCAGTTTAGTGACCTGTGCTAACCCATCCACACAACCCCCGAAGCGGGAATCGGGCGGCGATTCTACTATAAAGCTATTAAAATGGTTGGATTGCGGCGGCGCTAACGCCAGCGTCCGGTGGGAAGACGTGCGCATACAGGAGCCCATGAGACTCCGCAACCTTACGATCGGCGCCTCGTATACCATCACCAAAGAGGTGACCCCCGGCTCCACATCCAAAGTGGAGGTGTGGCGACTCATGCGTATGCTATTCATGCCCGTCCAGATACGCATCCCATGTACTAACAAGTTTGGCTCCTGTGACTACGATATCTGCCGAGTGGCCGATTACGACAACTTTTGCAACTTTCAGCGCTTTAATAACGGCTCGTGCGGCTGTCCGATGGCGCCCAACAAAGTGGTCGGCTATAACTTCAGGGTACGGGTGGCCGAACGCAAACTCACATCGTTTCAATCATATTTTGCCGAGGTGCTTTTATCACTTATATTATATTTGTTATTTTTATTAATGGTTAAACTATTATTTTGTTTATTAATTTGCTCAGGGTATATATCGACTGCGATGGACCTGGTACAATCCACAGGGTCAACGTATAGCCTGTCTCGAGGGCGAGGGACCCGTCTCTCCGTTTCAATAATTTATTTTGCTGTATATCTTGTGGTCATTTGTTTCGTCTATTAAATACAATTGATTTGAAAAAAACTAATTTAATTGGCAATTGATTTACTAATAGTTTGTGAAATTGTTATTTTTATTATCATTAAAATTCATAAAAACTTTGTGTACAATACGATGAATACAATTAATATAATCATTGAATTAAAGAAATTTGAATGAATATGTTTGATAATCACACAATTGATGCTAAATTACAAATACATTACAAAATTTAAGCTAATGTTAAAATAATGGTTTTGAAAAAATTGATTTATTTAGAAACGATTAAAGAAGGGTGTCGAAGGCCCTATGTTAATTTGGCTAAAAAAATATTTTTTATTTAACCCTACGGAAAAAAGTTGTCTAAATTGTATCTTGGCCGATTTTTAGTTCAAAGTTAATTTAATGCGATAT